GTGGCCAAAAGCCAGGGGCCATCAGGAGGTCCACCAGCAGAACCAGAACATAAGAGAAGCCTTGTTGGATGAGGCCAATAGCCCATCCAGTCCAACATTCTGTGTCACATAGTGGCCAAAACCCAGGGGCCATCAGGAGGTCCACCAGTGGGGCCAGAACTCCAGAAGCCCTCCCACTGTGGCCCCCCAAAGCACCAAGGATACAGAGCATCACTGCCCCAGACATAGTGGACATATACTTATAGGTCCACTGATGGACCTCTGCTCCATATGTTTATCCAGTTCCCTCTTGAATCTGTCTGTACTTGTAGCTGTCACCACCTCCTGTGGCAGTGAATTCCACATGTTAGTTAATCACACTTTGGGTGAAGAAGGGCTTCCTTTTATCTGTTCTAACCCAATTGCTCAGCAATTTCATTGAGTGCCCATGGGTTCTTGTATTGAGAGAATGAGGGAAAACTACTTCTTTCTCTACCTTCTCTATCCCACGCATAATTTTGTAAACCTCTATCATGTCACTCCTCAGTCGTCATTTCTCCAAGCTAAAGAACCCTAACCTCTTAAACTTTTCTTCATAGGGAAAGCTTTCCATCCCCTTAATCATTTTAGTTGCCCTTTTTTTTGCACCTTTCCCAATGCTATAATATATTTTTTGAGGTGTGGTAGCCAAAACTGTACACAGTATTCCAAACGAGGCCCACCATAGATGTATACAGGGGCATTACGATACTGGCTGATTTGTTTTCAGTTCCCTTCCTAATGATCTCCAGCATAACATTTGCCTTTTTTTTAATTGCAGTCGCACACTGAGTCGACATTTTCATCTCCCATGACTCCAAGATCTTTCTCCATGTCAGTTACCACCAGTTCAGACCCCATCAACATGTATTTATAGCTGGGATTTTTGGCGCCATTGTGCATCACTTTGCACTTGCCTGTGTTGAATCTCATTTGCCACACTGCCACATGCTTATCCAACCTCGACAGATCCCTCTGGAGCACCTCACAGTCCTCTCTGGTTTTCAGCACCCTGAACAAGTTAGCGTCCTCTGCAAACTTAGCCACTTCACTTCACTCAAGACATACACATTGGATGTTCTTGCAAAAGGAAGAGAAGCTCATGTGAGCTCGCATAGCATAGTGACTCTGAGAACAAGATATGATCTAGGAGATCCTGGGCCAAAATCACATGTCTGCCACAAACTCACTAGGTGGCTTTAGGTAGTCTTCTCTCTTGTTCTCTCCCTTAGCTCTCCCACCCCAAATCTGCAATATTAGCCTGTCCTGCAGGGCTGTCTCTACCACTCAGCTCTTTCGGGCTGTCTTCTGCAGTCCCTTTAAACTACTACAGAAGACAGCCCGAAAGAGCTGCATGGCAGGAACACCTCCCCACCGAGCAGCTGGTTTTCACCCTGTCTCCTGCAGTTCTTTTGAAGTTTAAAGGGACTGCACAAGACAGCCCAAAACAGCTGAGTGCCGGGGAGCCTCCTCGCCGCTTAGCTGTTTTTGCAGCTATAGTGGGAAACAGGTTTAAAGGGTCTCTGAGTCCCTTTAAACCTCTGCTTTCTGCTCCATCCATGAACCGCACAAACCACTCTAAATGTTTGTGGAAGTTTGTGACGGTGAACCCATCACGAACTTCTGTTTGCGAACCACAAACAGGGTAAAATTCATCATGAATTTTGCCTCATGGTTCGGTTTGTGCCCATCCCTATGTAAGAAGACACATGCACAAGGAGTGCATTTGGGGCACTCTACTGATAGGAAGGAATACATTGAGGGAACATTATGAACATCCGCATGCTGAGGAAGAGAAGAACAGTTTGTTGAAACATCAGCTCTCTGATTGTGAGCTGAACTGATGTGGGTTTGGGTATCCCTAATGAAAGGTATACATTTTTCTCCATTTGAATGTTAATAGCAGAGCAGGGGAGCCAATTTTCAACAGAGAAACAGAGCAAATATTTGCACAGTGTAAAATTGTGTTCATGGTCTTTTTCTTCTGCATGGGCCCGAGGCAATTTGAGGCTGCAAAAATGCATGTTGCATGGATGGGTACGAGCCCTTCTTGAGCCCTGCTTCTTGAATGATATAGCCCACTTTGGAATGCCATGGCACCGCAGCTCTCCTGTCACCTCCCAGCATCCACCTTCCCCTCTCACTTCAACAGTGTGTTTGTGTGTGGGGGTTGGGGATATTGCCTATGTCCTATCCCAGAAGCCACTGCTGCTCCAGATGTTTGTTAAACTGGGGAACAACTAGCCTGTGATGCAATCCCATCACTATCCCTTCAGCGCTTCCCAGTAGAACTTCCTTTATTGCCCCTCCCTTATTTTCCACTGAAATTGACACAGAACAGTCCTTTTAAGGGAGAGGAGGAAATCAGAGTTGGTGAAATTGACAAGCATTTCCCCAGGTCTTGTCAATTTCACCGGAGAGCTGAAATGAGGGCCAAGGGAAGAAAATCTGGATGTGAAATGATCAAAGTTTTCCCCTCAATCTCCTCAGTTTTACCTGAGAGCAGAGAAAGGGGATCCCTAAAGAAAATAAGCATGGGCGCAATTTATAGAACTCTGGGAGTCAGTTTTGGCAGAACTTAGAAAGTTTCCGCGCTGTACTTCCATGCTGGGAGACAAGGCTGAAATGAAGAAAAGAACCCTTTTCTCGTATGAATATTTTCTATGGGGGAAAAAAACGATCCAGAGATTAAAATGCATTATTTATTCATGCTGTTTTTAAATTTAAGAGCTTTATATCCTACATTTCCTACTCTTTCAAAGGAGGCGGAAGGCAGCATACAAACATTAAACTGAAAAATTTAAAAATTAAAACACCTAAATAACAAATCCCGAACAGTGACAGCCTAGACACAGAATAAGCCGCATCGCAATGCAGACGAAAGAAGCAGTAAAAGTAAAACCAATTTTCAAAAAAAATGTATACCATTCATCAAATCAGTTGTAAAAGCAATCTAGCCAACAGTATAGACTGAAACAAACAACCCCCCCCCCCTAAGATGGCTGGGAAAAGAACTACCAGATACTTTTGCAAGTAAGATAATATGCCTCTGTTTATTATTATTTATTATTTTATTCGATTTGTATCCCGCCCTCCCTGCAGAGCAGGCTCAGGGTGGGTTCCATCATAGACAATATACAAAACAATTAAAATACATCAAATAAAATACAATTGCTAATTCCCGTATTTCTAACCAAAGCCTCAACAGACAAGGTCTGTTTTGGGGTTCCGAATGATTGCACAGATCTGATCCACTGGGAGGGGGAGGCGACAGAGGGAGGATGCCCACTGCCTCAACTAAAAGCCTGATAGAAAAGCTCCATCTTACGGGCCCAGTGGAACTGTAAAAGGTCCCGCCAGGGCCCTGAATGCATATGGGAATTCATTCCACCAAAATGCATGAAAATTGAAATGGAACTGAAGATCCACTTCCTCCAAGGCCAACAACTGATTTAAAACATCCACTAAAAACACATTTTAAAATGTATTTATTTATGCATGCATATGTACATGCCTTTCACACATGCAGGAGAGAGGTGCAGAAAGCACTTTGAGCAGCATGGGTTGAAATCGGTTCTGCTCTCTGGTTAGTGTGTGTAGGTTTTCTGCTCTACAGTACAATGCCAAGCGGAGTTCTAACCCTTCTTAACCCAGAAGGGTATAAAATATGGATGTCGACCTCCAGGTGTGACCTGGGGATTCCCTGGAATCACAACTCATCTCCAGACGACAGAGATCAGTTCATCTGGAGAAAATGGCGGGATTGGAAGGGGGACTCTAGGGCACTGTACCCCACTGAGGTTCCTGTCCACCCCAGGTTCCACCCCCAAATCTCCAGGAGTTTCCCAACCTGGATCTGGCAACCCTAACCCCCCCATCCCCCACCGGTGGCCAAGGGGGACCAGGCAAACCTAGTATAAAATCTGTTTAGGGTTGTCTTGCGAGTCGGAGAAGGCTCACCCAGCAGTAAATGGAGGAAGGTTCATCTTAAAACCAAATTTGCGCTCTAGCTGGCGTGCATTGCAATTTTGAACTACAGATGCTGGGGTTGCAAAAACTGAGTTAACTGCCTCTTGTGAAAATGGCCCCTATTTTGTTAACTGGGTGGAGTAAAATATTGCATAGTCAGGAATGAGCTGGATCCGCTTCCATTTAACATTTAATCCACATCATTTTTCACAGGGATGGCCTTAAGGTCTTCTGTTAACGTCGGGTCTTTCTGAACTGCGACCACCATGTTCTTTTCCACCATGATCTTCTTCAAGACCCATCTTGCTAAGAGCACTCTGCCCTCATGGTCTGGCTGAAGGATTAGGGTTTTTGCATTCTTTTCTGACTATCATATTGTCGGCTGGGAGGGGGGAAAAACCCTGTGGATAAAGTTAGCCTTTTCTGTGTCCCTTGCATCTCTTCCAACTCCCAGAAATATTTGAGAAGAACCGCAGAAAAGAAAAGAAAAAAGGCATGTGTGTTGCCCTGAATTATAAAAACTAAACCAGCGATCTGCAGCAGGCCTTCGAGGAATGCAAATACCATTCAGCTGTAAAAATCCAGTTATTGTGTGTGTGTGTATGTATGTGTGACACAACAACCCAAATCTGAATTATGAGTTTTTCCGCCAGTACCAGAGGCAATGGAACTGAACATTTGGCTTTTCGATGAACCCGGTTCTGAAAAACTTTGCTCAGCAGAGAAGTTCTTCAAAATGAGTGACATCCCCCCCCCCATGAGTAGGGCAGATTCATGGGACGGTATGTACATACAAAGAGAAAGAGACCCTTCTTGTGCAAGCGGCACTGAGAAAGAATTCTGTGCAGGGGGGGGAAAGCTTACATTTTGAGGCAACTGAAATGGGAAAATAGTATCCCAGTATAGCCACTTCTGGTTTTTAATTTGCACCTAGTGCGACAGCCCGAGTCTCCCCCCCTCCTTTTCTCTTTTGCATTATGAACTGTATGAAAAAAGCAGCACTGGGAACTCACCGAGACTTGTCCTCTTTGAACTCCCATTCCAAAAGTCTCCGCCAAGTCGAAGGCCATCATTCCATTGCTTTAAAACAAATGTGAAAATTCTTTTTTTTCCCCCACTGGCAATTTTTTTTTGGGGGGGTGGGGGACTGGCCACACTTCTTCCCTCCCAGGAACGTGTTAATGTCTGCTGGCTGCTTCAAAAGAAAAGAAATCCCAAAGTCCAGCGGTGCACAGTTGTTCTCAGGGAGCCTAAGAGTGGTGGCAGTCAACTGCATCCATAAAAGCTCTGGCTGGTGAGGAGACACAAACGAAATTGGGGAGGCGGCAGGAAGGAAAGTCTACCCATGTGAGCAGAAAGAAGGGTTAAAAAAAAAAGGAGAGAGAGAGAGAGAGAGAGAGGGCCACTCACTGGACACCCCCTTGGACTGATAGAAGAGATTTCAGGAAATCCAAACACTCAAACAGGAAATCTGAACGCTGGATAAACATTCCATAATCTTCCACTGTTAATGTGCAACCCCTCCGGTTAACCCTTCCCCTGCTCTGTGCGATGGGGGGGGGGGAACTCCGTGGAGCATGCTTTGTTGTAACTGGATCTGCCTCACGTTTCACAATGTGCTGCTCTGGGTCCCTGTGGGATAACCAGTGCTCTGGAAAAGGGTCCCACCCCCACCTCCCAAACACATTGGCTAACATCTGGAAGGGCCTGAACGTTTCCCCCTCCTCCCATTGTTCCCAATCTCTACCTGGCAAGGTTTTAGTTAAAAAAGAAAGGACTGTGGCAACTTTCTCTGGTTAATAGAACCAGCATGCTTGTAATGTAGGCTTGCAGGAGAAAGGGGGAGGCTTGCCTGGTTATTAACGAAGCAATCCTCTCCCCCCCCCCACCACCCAGCTTCCCTCTTTGTTTCCTTTCTAAGGTTTTCCTGATATTATTTATCTTCATATGTCTTTATGTTTCATTTATATACTCAGGGTATCATCAGCCGATATATTTCATTATCTTTCTGGCTGTCTGTGTGGAGATAAGGAAGAGAAGATCGGAAGGGTTCTGTAAAGAAAACAGAGAGGGTATTTGAAAGAATTGTTTCCATCTTGCAAAGTCTTCTAGGGACTCCGAGTAGAAAACAGGGGATTTGTTTTAGCCGCCACAACAACCCTGGCATGACAGAAAAGAGCAGGAGTCCAGCAGCGCCTTAAAGACCAACAAAATTTGTGGCAGGGGACGGGTTTTCGTGAGTCGCTGCTTTCTTTTTCAGATCAGGCAAAAAGTCACAGGGGCTGACATTATTCGTATGGGGAGAGATCAAGATGGGTAGCCATGTTTGTCTGTAGCAGTAGGAGAGAGCAAGAGTCCAGTAGCACCTTAGAAACGAGCAACATTTGTGGCAGGGGTGAGCTTTTGTGTGTCACTACTCACTTCTTCATGGAGCTGCGGTGGCTCAAGTGGTTAAGACGCTGAACTGCAGGCTGTGGAAGGTCAGTAGTTCAGCAGTTCGAGACCCGAGTGTGTCGCATGACGGAGTGAGCTCCCGTCTCTAGTTCCAGCTCCTGCCAACCTAGCAGTTCGAAAGCAAGAAATTGCAAGGAGATAAATAGGTACCACTTCGGTGGGAAGGGAACAGCGTTCCGTGCGCCTTGGTGTTTAGTCATGCCGGCCACATGACCACGGAAATGTCTTCGGACAGCGCTGGCTCTTCGGCTTTGAAACGGAGATGAGCACCGCAACCCTAGAGTCGGATTCGACTGGCTTTCGAGCAAGGGAACCTTTACCTTTACCTTTACTCACTTCTTCAGATCAGGCAAAAAGTCGTAGAGGCTGACCGTGCCCACACGGAGAAAGATCAAGATTGGAAGCCGTGTTATTCTGTCTGTTGCAGCAGAAAAGACCAAAGAGTCCAGTAGCATCTTGAAGACGAACACCGTTTGTGGCAGGGGGTGAATTCTCCTGAGTCACTGCTCACTTCTTCAGATACCTCCTTCAGATTCATTTCTTCAGATCTGAAGTAGTGAGCAGTGACTCACGAAAGCTCACACCCTGCCTCAAATTGTGTTAGTCTTTAAGGTGCTACCAGACTCTTGCTCTTCTCTACTATAGGCAGAATAAGAAGATATTGGATTTATACCCCACCCTTCACTACCCAAAGGTGTCTCAGAGCGGCTTACAAACTCCTTTCCCCTCCCCTCCCCACAACAGACACCCTGTGAGGTAGGTGGGGCTGAGAGAGCTCTGACAGAAACTGCTCTTTTTCAAGGACAGCTCTTATCAGAGCTACGGCTTGCCCAAGGTCATCCAGCCAGGTGGGAGTGGAGGAGTGGGGAATCAAACCTGGTTCTCCCAGATTAGAGTCCGTGCACTTAACCACTACACCAAACTGGCTCTGTATACCATAACATGGCTACCCATCTTCATCTGTCTCCTGGTATGGTACAGTAATGTGTTACTGGCGGCAACCCCACAGTGTATCCTAAGCAGACTTACACACCGCTCAGCTCATTGGCATCAGTGGACTTAGAAAGTATAACTTTGCTTAGGATTGCATGGCTGTGCAGATTAGAACTGCCAGCCTCTGTCTCCTTTGCAGGGCGGACTCTGTGGCGTTATATACCAACAAGGTTCCTCCCCTCCCCAAAAACCGCCAGTGTTCCCTCTAAGCTGAGTTAGTGTGAACTAGCTCACAGTTCTTTAGCCTCCGGCTCACACATTTTTGTCTCAGCTCAGGAAGGAGGGCTCCAGAGCAGGCTAATTTATGCAGTAGCTTAGCCAAATCACCTGCTAACAACTTTAATGCTGGTAGCTCAGAAAGTAGATTTTTTTGCTTACAAGACTCCACAGCTTAAAGGGAGCATTGGACACCACCCTCCTTAGGGTCCATCCCCTAAATCTCCAAGTACTTCCCAACCTAGAGTTGGCAACCGTGATGCAGATCCATGGCTGTGGAATCTGAATCTGGATGTCACAGTCTGACTGGCTGGCTAGCCAAATTATAGTGCAAACAGGGTTACGCCCTTTTAAATCCAAAAAAGACAATGGACTTAGAAGAGTATACCTCTGTTTAGGACCACACCGTGGACATAATAGATTTGAATTATTAATTGTGTTGTGGTGCAATCCAGTGGTGCATTCCTGGCCTGAGGCAAACTGATTCTATTTTGGTGGAGGAATCTCCCATAAGAATCTAAGAGAAGCCATGGTGGATGAGGCGAATGGCCCATCCAGACTAAAACTCTGTGACAAACAGTGGCCAAAACCCAGGAGCCATCAAGAGAGCCACCAGTGAGGCCAGAACTCCAGAAGCACCCCCCCCTTTGCCCCCCCCAAGCACCAAGAATCCAGAGAATCACTGCCCCAGACAGTGTGTTCCATCTACACTGTGTGGCTAACAGCCACTGATGGACCTCTGCTCCAGATGTTTATCCAATCCCTTCTTGAAGCTGTCTGTGGTTGTAGCTGCTACCACTTCCTGCAGCAGAGAATTCCACATGTTAATTACTCTCCCCGTCCCACACTTCTTTCTTGATGTGCGGGTAACCAGGACTAACATACCCGCTACTTCTTTCTGAGTAAAATATTTGACCCAGGCTAGTACTTGGATGGGAGACCTCCCTCTAAGCTGTGGAGTCTTGTGAGCAAAAATTCTTCTTTGTGAGCCCCTGGCGTTAAAGTTGTGAGCGAGCAATTGGGCTGCTGCAAAAATCAGTTTGCTCTGGAGCCATCCTCCCGGAGCTAAGACAAAAATGTGTGAGCCGGAGGCTAAAAGACGGTGAGCCAGCTCACACTAACTCTGCTGAGAGGGAAGAAGAAGAGATTGGATCTGTACCCCGCCCTTCACTACCCAAGGGAGTCTCAGAAAGGTTTACAAACTCCTTTTCCCTCCCCCTCCCCACAACAGGCAGACACCCTGTGAGCAATGTTCCCTCTAAGCTGTGGAGTCTTGTGAGCAAAAATTCTACTTTGTGAGCTACTGGCATTAAAGCTGTGAACGAGCAATTTGGCTACTGCATACATTAGTTTGCTCTGGAGCCATCCTTCCTGAGCGAAGACAAAAATGTGTGAGCTGGAGGCTAAAAAACTGTGAGCTAGCTCAGGGTATAACTCTGTTTAGGATCACACCGTGGACATAATAGATTTGAATTATTAATTGTGTTGTGGTACAATCTAGCAGTGTCTTCTTGGCCTGAGGCAATCCTGATTCTATTTGGGTGGAGGAATCTGCCATAAGAATCTAAGAGAAGCCATGTCGGATGAGGCGAATGGCCCATCCAGACTAAAACTCTGTGACAAACAGTGGCCAAAACCCAGGAGCCATCAAGAGATCCACCAGTGAGGCCAGAACTCCAGAAACACCCCCCGCTGCCCCCCCAAGCACCAAGAATCCAGAGCATCACTGCCCCAGACAGCGAGTTCCATCTACACCGTGTGGCTAGCAGCCACTGATGGACCTCTGCTCCAGATGTTTATCCAATCCCTTCTTGAAGCTGTCTGTGGTTGTAGCTGCCACCACTTCCTGCAGCAGTGAATTACACATGTTAATTACTCTCCCCCGCCCCACACTTCTTTCTTGATGTGCGGGTAACCAGGACTAACATACCCGCTACTTCCTTCTGAGTAAAATATTTGACCCTGGCTAGTACTTGGATGGGTGACCTCCCTCTAAGCTGTGGAGTCTTGTGAGCAAAAATTCTTCTTTGTGAGCCACTGGCGTTAAAGTTGTGAGCGAGCGATTTGGCTGCTGCAAAAATCAGTTTGCTCTGGAGCCATCCTCCCGGAGCTAAGGCAAAAATGTGTGAGCCGGAGGCTAAAAAACGGTGAGCTAGTTCACAGTAACTCAGTTGAGAGGGAAGAAGAAGAAGAGATTGGATCTATACCCTGCCCTTCACTACCCAAGGGAGTCTCAGAAAGGTTTACAAACTCCTTTTCCCTCCCCCTCCCCACAACAGGCAGACACCCTGTGAGCAATGTTCCCTCTAAGCTGTGGAGTCTTGTGAGCAAAAATTCTACTTTGTGAGCTACTGGCATTAAAGCTGTGAACGAGCAATTTGGCTACTGC